CCGCAACTTTTCCGCAGGTTTTCCGCAACTTTTCCGCAGGTTTTCCGCAAGTTTTCCGCAGGTTTTCCACAACTTTTCCGCAAGTTTTCCGCATCTGTTCCGCAGGTTTTCCGCATCTTTTCCGCAAGTTTTCCGCGGTGTTTCCGTGCTTGTTCCACATTGGTTCGCGCCGTGTTTGTAGATTTTTGGCGTTGTTCCGCAGCCAGCATTGCGTCCACAATACGTTTGCTGGTTTTCCTCAGCAAATAGTTCCAGATGGTCATATGATCCACATGTTTTCAAAAAAGATTCACATGTGTTCCAGGGGTTCGACTATGTTGTATACTACTTTCTTGTAGAAGGTATTATTGAACGTCTTTTCCTTTACTTTTGTTGCCCTTCTCGCCCTCGGGTCCCTACTCTTCCTGTGCCCCCGGCTGTCCATGCTATGGCTGTGGCCAAAATGGTATCGGCTAGTGAAACGTAGTCAAATGCATGGTACACTTTCCAGTCTAGTAGTTGTCTTGAAACATCAAGTCACCAAGTCTGTCGAAAATTACTGGGTCTCAAACGTTGAGTCGAGAGATGTCGAGAGGTCAAGAGAGAAACCAGTCACATGTTCCCCGCCTTCACTGCTCAATTGGCTGTGGGTGAGGTCATCGGTCCTGGGAGCCGATCATTGATCCAAATCTCAATTATTCAGTTCTACTATCGAATCTAATCTGAACTACCCGTCAATGAATGACCATTTACGGTCATTTACGGTTCACATCTTTACATTAAATATATCTAGTCTATCTACCAACTCATCAACAGTTATCCACGCGTCCGCTTAACACATCCACGGGTCCATCTCCAGTACAGTTCCTATCATTTGAACAAGACACATTCGAAACAGGCAGTTGTGCACATCAGTGGCGTCCTGGCGCTGACGGATCTTCATGCGCCACTTCACCGATCTCAGCTGCAAGCTGGATTCGGAGTGGCCCGGGGCATCTACCTCCAAACCCTTGGCCAACCATTGCTTCAAGTCTTTCTCCACATCTGCGTAGGTTGGAGAATGCCCCAAGAGGCGTGCAACTTCCGCTTGTCGCTCAGACCCCTCTGGCGGCAAAGAAATCGCACAAGTGCAAGACTTGTGACTTGTGTATTTTGCAGGTGGCCTTCAAACTTGTAGCCCCCAAGTGGTGCAAGCGGCCCACTGGAGCGTCGCTTGCCAATGCACAGAAATCCCAACCACCCTTGTCGTAAATGAGCTCGGCCTCTTGCACCTGTGGCTGCGGAGGCTGTGCAGGCTGTGCTGCCTGGGCTATGGCTATCTCAGCTATCTCACTGTTTGCATTTGGCGAACCTTCTGCAGGTGAATCTCTGTCCTGGTCTTCACCCCCATCCTCTCCCAGCCTCCGAACCACTGTCCGAATTCTCTTCTGGCAAAGGCTGAGCAATCACATCCTGGGGATCTTGAGCATCCCGGATCAGCTGGTCAATTGGGTTGGACTCTTCTTCCACAAACATTTGGCGCTCATGGTGCGCAGGCCCTGCATGGCCAGAGCGCCGCACACGGCGACGTGTCACAAGATCTTCCAACAAGTCATCACCGCCAATATCATCAAGAGCGAGAACTGCTTCTCGACGACCAGGAGCTCTTGGAATCAAGCTGGCCTGAGCCTCAAACGCATGTCCCGTCCCTGTGATTTCATATGTGTCAAGGCGTGGCTCTCCAACCCAATGGAATTTCCAGGTTAACAAAACCAAGCGGACCTTGTCCATCGGCACATTGTCTACAAAGCACATGGATGCAGCAAATTCATCCTCCGACATACACACCAACCTTCCAGGCAAGAACCCAGAAGTTGTTTGCACGATCACAACATGTAACATTGACTTTGCCTAGAAAACCCTACCTGTGCCGTTTTGGCCAACCTTTGGACATCTTCCAACCAAATGACGCAGTCAAGAACAACAAAATGAAAGAAGATTCACGGCGAGTAAGGCAAGTACATAAACTCAATACACAGGTTTTGAGGCTATGCTCTATGTTGCTGCATAAGAATACAATGCGCAACAAAAGCTCTCAAGCATTGACATTTGAAAAAATACCTGTAATTATATCACGACTATACTGCATAGTGAAACACGCAACCCCTGACTGAAGACACGCAATGGAACCGAATCCAGGCCTGCCACTGGTTGCTTGGTTCAATGGCGGTCTTGGAGGCTTCTTCCGCTGCACAAACTCTTGTCGGTGATGGCGCAGGACCAATCCAGGCCCATATGCCTGACCAGATTGCTTGAACATATATAAGTTAATACTAGATAATATATAATATATAATATATATACAATATAATATATGGTTTAATATTCAATATATGGGTAATTTGAACCAGGCTTTTTCAGCGTTGCGGCAAGTCCTTTGGGAGGAACTGGAAGGCAATAAGTTTGAAAAGGGACCACAGAACAAGGATAACACAATAACTAGATTGGTCCAGGTGTTGGTGTAGCAGAAAAAACAATTTCAAGATGCCCCCACTCATGGAAATCGCGGCCTGAATCCCCCTTGGCTCACACAATGGCTCCAGCTTTGCCAGCGTCACTTGAGCGGCGTGATGTGCTTGGCGTCCACTCGCATGCACAATGGCAAAGAAAGTAACTTTGATTGCGCTTGCACCAGCAACATCTTCAACAGCCTGGTATTGTTCTGAAACCCAAAGTATGGAAGCTGGGGAAATGTGGGCTGGCTTGCCCGATTCTTGGACCACCCTGAACAAATTGTCCACGATGCCTTTGTGCAGCTTCAGAGTTCGTTGTGTGCTTTGCATGCGGCACAAGGCCCCGCAACAACCAGGATAAAGTACCTTGTCGGGGACCATATCACCGGCAGCAATTGTCGACGCCTCCTTGGCAAATTTGCCGATAGCCCCACGAATGCCACCTGCAACTTTGGCCCGGGCAGAAATGTCTTCAGGTTTTATCGGGTATTTTTGCTTTGACACAGCGGCTGACACTCCAGACCTGGCTTGCTGCTCCAGTGGGACAAGCAAACTCTGGCAAGCAAAATGCTCGGGGAATGGCGGCGCGTCATGAGATTGTGCATCCTCTCGGATCATGATCTCCAATGCATCTGCATTTGCATCAGTCTTTGCCGCAGCCACACCAGCATGCATAGCTTCACCTTCAGCTGTACCATGGGGTTGATTATTGGAAGGATGTGATTCCTTCACGCTGGAATCCTTCGACTGCCTACTATCCAAAATCTTCCTGTTCACAGCAGCTTCGAGCTTGCTAGCTTGTGCTCTATTTTCCAGTGCCTTCTTCTGCCCCGGAGGCAAACTGGCAAAAGCATCTTTGCATGCAGCATGCGCCTCTTTCGAAGCTGGATTCCAACATCTGCCCAGAAGCTTCTCCGATTGGAGCCAATCCCACTTGAAGAGCTCCTGTGCCGATTGCGCGCGAATAAGCCGGCCTCCAGGATTCACACGTTTCTGACGTCTACTTGCAGGACGGTCAGCGGATACAGTGTCAGATCCCTTATCAACGAGCCCTTCCTCCTGGAGATGCTTTAGCTGCTCTTGCCGCAACCTTTCCGTAGCTGTGCTTTGGAGCCTGCACTCAGCAAGAACACTGCCAGCCGAAAACATTCCAAAAGGCATTCCCTTGTTGGCTTGTTGTTTATGCGTAGCATGGCGTCTCTCAATCCCAGCAATGGTCAGCTTTGTGACAAAAGATGCCAGCAGTGCAAACCATCGAAACTGTGGCAATAGCTGCATGAAATCATCCTTGCTGCTCACATATTGCCTGAGCTCTCGGGCAGTTCCCGGCGGGAGGCAACAAGGCAATGTCTTGTAGAACTTGTCGATGATTGCCCCGTGGTCACATCGTCGGGCATCGGCCACAGCATACAACTTGAAAGGGTATTTGTCCAATGTTGCTACATATCTCCTGTGAACACTTCCAGCAAGAAGCAAGAAAAGGTGTCTTGCCTGGCGAGCCTGCTGTGGATGTTGATCAATCCAGTCTGACATGGTCAGGCACCCCTCCAATTGCCAGATCAGCCTCAATCGAGTGCAAGTCCCAGCCACCAGTGTACTGAAATACTGAAGCACCGCAATGAAGCGGCTTGCTGGTGCCCACACCTCTGAAAGCAGGTTTGGCCACTCTTGGTCGTTTGGGGCCGTATGAGCAAATTTAAGAAACAAAGAATGCAGGTGTCTCAGTGGCTCAATAGCAATTGCAAGCAATGTACGCTGAAAGCGTTCCTCAGAGCAAGCCAAAACTTTACGCGCGCGGTGGTATCGGCTCCCAGCCAACTTTCGCCATTCAATAAACACAGTCTCTCCAGAAACATCTTGCTGGGGTAGCTCCATCGCCCATTCAGCGTTCTCAAGAAGGGTGCTCAAGATGCCCTGGAATTCGGCCGCCAAGAAAAAGTCGAGATTAGGCCCAAGCCGCACCCAATCAGAAAGCAAAGGGGTTACAGGGACGGTTCGGAGGAGCACCCTCATAATTCCCCACAGCGCCTTGGCTTCTGCCTCCTCCCTGTCATTGCAACATCCATTTATGCAACAGTGTACCAGGCGTGTGCGATCCGAATACGGTCCATTCAGAATCCTCTCGAAGCACACCTTGATGTCATTTGCAGCACGTTGCCATCCCAAAAGTCCTTCACAAAGGAGACTCACACAGACGTCACACAGGTCTGACTTCAAAACGTCTTGATGGCGTCGTTTCAATAAAGTATTCGAGCACGAGGCGTGCCATGATGCAAGACATGTGTCGCCCCCAATTGCATTTTAAACTCTAAACGTGGATTTTGACTAAAGCCCAAAGGTTTTGGGGAAACGCGACCACTGTTTGCATCACGATGCGCCTCCGACAAATATGGAAAAATTGCACCACCGGTCCTCCACTACGTGAGCTCATTTCACGGGAGCTGCGCCGCAAATTGTCAGTCAAATAGCTAATGAGCTCTTGGGAGAATCTTCGGCCTTCTTGTAATTGCTCACTGGTTGGAAAGGGGATCCAATGGAAAAAACTGGCTTGGGAGATGAGAACCTGGACACTACTGAGCAATCTCACAAAGTGACCTCCCATGCGAAGGAAAAGCGTAGCACAGAAGAGGTTTGGAATTGTTTTGCCTCCAGTCGCTTCATGTTTGTGGAGACTTTCAACAGCACCAACGATGGACAGCTGCACTTGGTGATTCTGGCAAAGAACCTGTTCAGTAAGACTGCTAGGCAGTTCAGCATCAGCAGCATGAGACTGTGCTGAAGAAACTCCTGCTTCCAAACGTTGCTGATAGAGATGGAAGTGGAGCTTCTCGTTTGCCAAATGCCCATCTGTCTCGTGGATCCAGGCAGAAAGCTTGCTTGCAAGCAAGATTTGATTCACTAGGCTCGTGAGTGGCTTTGTGAGCGGATGATTGAATAGAGCATTCCACAGGCTAGACGCACTGTTTGAAGACAACGGGAGAGGGGGGAGCACAAACTCGTGGTAGAATTTTATGCCATTCACCCATCCCACCACGAGCTGCAGTCTAGCAACCATGACTTCCCACGAAGATGACGTCTGATGACGCAGCGCTGGACCAGCCACATTCGAGTCCAAGGACAACATCTGAGAGGTTCATCCCAGGCAAGAGAAGCAACTGCAATCTCAGGTGTGCTGGTGCAAGCTGCGTCCCAAAAATGATGCAACAGCTTCAATTGTACTTCAAGCACCGTCGATGCAGCAAACGCAAGGGCCCGCCTAATTGTGATCCTCGAAACATCATACCGCTCTGCCAAGAAGGTGCGCCTTTGGCAGTTTCCAAATCCAATCGCAAGTATCTCATGGGTGGTGAGTTTGCCACCGGCTTGGTTCAATGACTGTTGCTTTTCGTAAACTTCGCGAAGTCCTTGAGACTTCTTCCGCAGTTTGCAGTAGCGCATATGTGCCGCAAGGGCTGTCTTTTGCTCGAGCGTCCTCTTCTGCGGGCCACCAAATCGCCCAGATCTTCTCTTTCCTTTTGCCTGCCCGTATGTAAGGCGATGAGCTGGCGTCGATTGGATAATATTTAGCGTTTGTCAGTCTCTACACACATGTAACATGTATCATTGCTGTATCATGTAACTGTAACATTGTGTCATGATTGTATACGAATGTAATTTGTTTCAACAACACATTTCCGGGATTGGTTTTCTCATCTTTCAGAGCACAACTCACTCCAAACCATTCTTCAAAGGACTGGCATAAACCCCAAAGACTCCAAGCTAAGTGTCGGTGCGTAACGTATCTTTTTACCACACAGGCAAGACAAATTAATTCTCAGCTGTTTTTTACAAAGGCCTCTTTTTGATACAGCTGTTATGGGCCACCAATGGATCTCATATCCCGTAGCCCATAGCTAGCTCATTTGGGATATTCACGGCTATGGGCTATGGGCCATGGGGTCCTCCAAGCGCATGTTGCATGCTGTAAATTATGTATATTATGAGCCGTTCTTGCTCATTGCTATGGCGTATTATGACGTTATAGTTAGTTATAGTTCTAATAAACATGAAACGAGTGACGCTACCGGTAGGTACAATGCCATGCCATTGCTGCAATGCAACAACTCTGACAGCCACCCCGGAGCAGGCCCCGATTTGCCAACCTTGCTTCCATGAAGCTCCACTGACAGGTCCAATTGGCCACTAGCTTCCTCACAATCGTCCTGTCAGACGATATCAAGAATGACCATGGTCACTAGGGGAATAAAAGGAACATTTGGGCTCGCTGCCAAATTGTCAACTTGCTCCCGGAACCCTCCTTAAGTTAAGTCTGAACTTGAATGAAAAAGTACACAACTACTTACCCACCTTTTGTTACTTCGACACACTTGAACAAACCTGTACTGTATTGTAACATTGTACGTAGACACAGTGCGGGTTCGGGTCCGATTCGAAAATGTCATGTTAGTGCCCTTGAAAGACGCTTCCAGAATTTCCGTCTCCAAAGGCCTGGCCAAGGCCCAGATCATATCCTACTAAATTTTGTTGATATAGACTATAAAACAATAAGTGACAGTGGTTGGTCAGACCCCAGACTCAACATTGAACGGCATCGGACTTGGGTTAGCGGGTGGCAAATCTAAAGTGTTGGAGTTTGTCCTTGACCATCCTGTGTCCCAAGCCACCCCCTCAGCGCTCTCCTCACAATCCATGTCATTCTCCAAATTGGCGCCCAAGGCCTGAAGGACGCACAAGTCACACGCAAGTGACTGCAGATGTCAAGGTTCAATGTAATACAATTCAAACGTCTGGAAAGAACGTGTGGAAAACGTTCACAAAACAAGTTGACATCGCACCATGGTCAGCCTATGGTCCATGGCCCATGGTCCCATGGTCATGATGTCCAGTGGTCCGAGGTCTATCAACCCCCAGGCCTCCAAAAGGTCAAAGTGAGAGTCATGAGGATCTTCGCTACGATCTTCATCCTGAAGCACACACAGGTCACATGCAAGTGACTGCACGTGTCAAGGTTTCAATCTAGTATCAAAATTGTATCTATAATATATTATATATGTAATTTTAATTATGTATATATTATGTTTATCCTTTCACAAACGTTCACAAAACAAGTTGACATCGCCCCATGGTCAGCCTATGGTCCATAGTCCATGGTCCCATGGTCACAATGTCCAGTGGTCCAAGGAACCTCGGCCATGTGTAATGTTAAAAACGCCAGGCCTCCAAAAGGTCAAAGGGAGAGTCATGAGGATCTTCGCCACGATCTTCATGATAGTCCTGTCCCATGGTCAAAAGGTCCAGGATCAAAAGTTACATGTTACATGGAGTTCCAAATTTGCTAGCTGCTAACAGGTTGAACATCGGGGCCTGCAAAAGGTCAAAGTGAGAGTCATGATCATCGCCACGATCTTCATGGTAGCCCTGTCGCATGGTCATAAAAACTCCAGGATCACAAACTACTATATAGTTGAATATCGGGCCTCCAAAAGGTCAAAGTGAGAGTCGTGAGGATCTCCGCTATGATCTTCGTGGTAGTCCTGTCCCATGGTCACAGGGTCCAGTCACAAGTGACAAGTGACTCAAGTGGCAAGTCACAAGTTCATGGTAATCCTGTCGTCAATTGATAAGTGACTTGTGCAATCGCTGGCCGTAGAGGATGCACTCTCGCAAGTTCTCAAGCTCATAGTCGAAGGCAACCTTGATGGCCCTGATGTCCAAGTTGTAGCCCAACATCACAGCACGGTACATGTCATGAAGCAGCCGCTCATCAAAGTTTGGCATGAAGGGTGGCATGGCGATAAGCGGAAACGCTACACAGTAGGCTACACACTCACACTCACACACTGCTGATGTGACAAAAGCTACAGAAAGTGAAAGTTGAGGCCACCTAAACAAACTCAAACTTGATTTAGCTTGACTGCTTCACTCCGGACCCCCAGTCTCCTCCGCTCAGAATGGCTTCGCCGCCATTTGGGATGCGCTCCGACGTCGTATAGGCAGCATAGATTGACTGACACTAGGCCATTGATTGGCCATTGAGCTGTCAATCAGTGACTTTTCTTGAAGTTTAGGCTTAGGTTCTTGTCGCAAATGATTAATTGTGAACCTATGGTCAACCTAATTTATGACTCATGACTCATGACCTTATGATTCACTTATGATATCTTCTGTCAGTTGTGAAAGAGCCATCATGGAGTCATGGCATTGTCTTTAGTTTTTCCGAGCAAAACATCTGGTGTGAAACTATATGTTGACGGGAAGAAAGTTGCGGAATACAGTGTTTTTCACGCCAGAAATCTTTGTGGAAAACATAGTTTTGATAGTGAAAATCTTTGTGGAAAACATTGTTTTGAAAGGGAAAAAAGTTGTGGAAAACATGCTTGTGAAAGGGAAACTGTTTGTGGACATCATTGCTTTGAAAGGGAAAAGCTTTGTGGAAAACTGGCGTTTTCACACACCAATCTCACTTACCAATTCTTGACGTTTCATTCGTAAAGAAGACCATCCAGCAGTTGTTTGAGGACCCCCCTAATTCATGACCTGTGTTCCATGCTGTTTGCTGAGAATATTCTTGCAAAGTGCGCATGGTCTCAGCCCAGCCGCGCCTTTGGCGCTAAGCAGAGCCCTGATTGCTTCGTAGTCGCCTAGAAAGGCTTTGACTTCCAAACGAAGACGGATGTTACAGACCTGAACGCCCATAGACAAGTTCTGGCTTGCTAAATGCCTCAGCACTGCGGCGCCCACTTCACTCGTGGATCCACTGACCAAGCTAACATCGCGGCTTGGGATGCAGGCCAACGGGAACCACGCGTCGGCGCGGCCGACATCACCTAGACTTTGGATTGTGAAGTACCACAAGTGCATCTTCTTGCTGCTTGAGGTGGACAAAACGTTGCCGCCCGTCGCCTCGTCCTCGACAACTACCACTGGATGGATTTTGTCCTCAAGCGCACCTAAACGTTGGAGGTAAAAATCGGCAGATCTAGCAACGTAGTCTAACAGCGGCTCTACATTTGCGCACCAGAATCGTATATTGGGACCTCCGTCGTGGGCTGGTACTTCCAACTCTGAATAGCAGCGCCGAGCTGGCTCAAGGATTTGCTGGCTTTGTCTTTTCCAGGCGCCGCTTTGAGGAACTTGAGGGTCACGATTGTTTAGCACTAGCTTGGCTTTCCAGGCGCTTAGAGAGCTTTGGTGTGCCAAGAGCTGAGAGATTTTTTGTTTCTTTGGCGCGCTCTCCATGTAGTGTCCTGTCCTGTCCTGTCTATGAATTTGTTTTGTTTATGCATTTGTTTTGTCTATGCATTTGTTGGATTTTGTTGGAAAGTGCAACCTAAGAAAACAATCGTGAATTAAATGGGTTCGTTGTTTGCTGGACAGAGCCAACCTGATATAGGTTGCAGCCTTTGAATTCCAAGAAATGGCGGGCTACCGCCTGCTATGTGGGCACTATATGCAAAAGACATGTAGTACGTGAGCACTTATTCATATGTACCTTTACACCTGAACACACCACACAGTTGGTCCATCCTAAGTAGATAATACAACATCACTGATTGGATAGACAAACACGGCGGGCAACCACCTTGTTTTTCACTTCGCGCACCACAGAGTTAATTAATCCTATAAGTGGGCCCTCACCTCAGAGAGTAGTTGTTGAACAGGCCATAGCACATCGAAGAATGCCTTGTTCTCGTGTACCCTGAAGAATTGCTGCGCCGTCCCCAAGTAGCCCACGCATTGGCTCACCTCACTTCGCTTCAGGGCAACACTGCGACCATGTGCTTGGGAATATGCTGCAATCTTCTGTTGTATGCTGCGCCCTGGTGGGTCTCCAAATTTCACATAGCCTGAGTAGGCCTCCTCATCCAAGGCCACACCAAATTCGAAATGGCACCGCAAACAGGCTAGACACAAAATAGCCTTGCTCAGAAGCTCTGCTTTCGACCAACTGTCCGTGTAGAAATCGACAAGCCATACACAGGTTTCCTTCAAGTTCTCGAGCTCAAAGTTGGCCACGTAACTCAGTTGCTCCTTATCATATTGGTACAGTGCAGAAAATCCATTTGCCAGATCCTGCACCACTGAAGTTTCCACTGTAGTGTCATGCATGGAGACGACAGGGATCATGATACCTAAAAGGACAGAGCTGCGCGGGCACCTGATGTTTTGAACCAAACCTATAGTATATGAATATATGGAGACCATGAACTATATTCGGCGGGCGACCGCCAAACGTTTGACAAACACAAAACATATAGTGTATGAATATATGGAAACCATGAACTATTCGGCGGGCGACCGCCAAACGGTTGACAAATCTGCAAGACTTGAACTTCCATAGAATACAAATGTGACTTGCCACAGTTCAAGAGAGAGAAGGCGGCGCACTAGAATCTACACGCATTTGTTTTCCCACTCTTTTACCCCTCCGTTTGAGC